GCCTAGTGGACACTGCCCTAAAGTCTTACCAAAAATTCTATGTTCATAAAAACAGGTGTTTGAAATGGTGGGGAAAAAAACAAACAAACAAAAAATATATATGGCTGTTACATTTTGTACAACAGCAACTTGACCAGTCATCACCAGACAGGATGGACAGCCTGGAACCCAGGCATTGTGTGATAAGCGAAGTGTACACATGCCCTATTCAAACACATAACTCCATAATCCGATGAATCTGAGTCGATGCCACACAATGCTCGGTTTGCGGTGCACGTGTGTGTGGGCTGAGCGGGAGGCTTGGACAGCTTTGGGAACATGAGGAGATTTAAAAGGAAGGGATTTTTTTTTTTCTTAAGATGCGTACAGGTCCCTGTGGAACACATAAACTGCTCCATATGGTGATATTTGCAGTCACATGCTGTTGTGCTGTTGTAACTACAGTCAAGGGAATTGAGGAGTATGGAATGTACAAAGGCTTCAAGATTCAAAAATGGCTTTGGATTTGCTGACACAAAAACGTATGCATTGTCTGATTGTTAACATACGTCTTGAGTGATCCGATCATAAGGGGACAGCACTCGATCCAATGTTGGAGGTGAGCAGGAATGGATATGATCAAATCATGTTTGTACTGTGAATGCTAAAGGGTCCCTGTGCATCCCAAAAGCAACGAAGGACTAATTGCATCATCGCAATAGAAACAAAACCAATCATGAATGGTCGCTGGAGATACATTCAACAGTATAGAAATGGTAGATGTAAATGGCTGTATGTCCCACCGTCCACTTGTGATCAGATCACTCAAGATGATTGTTAAGGTGTAAAAAGGGTCACTGTTGGCTAGTTGTAGGTAATGCAAACAAAGCTTAACAGCTGTCAAATAACCTCTTGATAGTCATGAAGCTCATATGCAATACAATTTTCATGAGATACATGACCTCATAGTTATAAAACAGATAAAGTTTGGACCTCATTTGTATGGAATCGAATGAAACCTACTTGTCATAACTTCAGTAAATTCATTGCAAGATCGGGTACAATATGCCAGTTCCTGGCTTGGTTCCTGAATTGAACACATTGCCCACATTCACAATGACTCCAACAAGGTGCGCTCAAAGGACAGAACTTATGAAGTCAGCTTTGACAGAAGAACTACTTGGTTTTGAAGACGTTCTTTCAGTACCACAACTTTTTCATTAAAAGTGTAAAATCTAAAAGTTGCAACTGTCATTGAGGGAAGAACAATGGAAATTCCAACGGTCTTTATCACAGACCAACAGGACGTATCTTGTTCTCTGAAAGTCTGACCATTTAAACTGTTATCTTGTACCGCTTCAATGTTCTGGCAAGCTAGAGTAGCGTTTGAGGGATGTCTGTGAGAGGACTCAGATCAGCCCACCGTACCCAGTTCTTAACTAAGCTAAGGCAAAGTCTGGCTGGAAACAACTGCAGACTGTGAGGAAAGCAATAAATAATAAAAGGAAAAAGAAAGAAAGAAGTGATTGTCTATACAAGTGTCAATGGCATGAAATTTAGTTTTTGCCCTTTAATATCCGAAGCGACTAAAGAACAAAAGAAAATAACAGCAAAGTTATATACAGATAGCATTAGGGATTTATGTACAGTGCATGAAGTGCGCTGAGCTGTATTATCAGCACTGAAACAGGCCTTGCTGTGTTTAAGCCTCACAGTGGGCACCAATCTCTTTGTAAAATTAGACCCATCCAATAGCACTCATGTATGAAGCCCACTAAAATGCCGCAAATATAATGGCCTATAAAGTGCTTAGAGCATCTGTTGACTCATTTGTCATGCCCAGACTTGTCCTCCTACTTTGGTGAAGGAGAGGGGCTGTTGTGGTTGGTGTTGATCAAGATGTTCTAGACTTGAGACTTGAGCAGACTGACTCTACACTTTCCTTGGCCAATCCTCTTTAAAAACACTTGATTAGACTGATCAGTTAATGCCTAAGCTCCTCATGAATTAAGTTGGGGTGATAGAGTAGGGACAAAAAATGGGATTGAGAACAAGACAATTGGTGTGTTGATGAGTTTTGATGAGCACTTGCTGGGATGGGGTTCACTTTTAAAACAATGGTTCCTAAATTGTTCTTGGCTTGGATGTACATTTCTAGGAAAATCATTCGGTTGAAATAGAAACTTTACATGACTTGAGGGTTCTTTAAATGTTTGAAAGGTTCTTAACTCCCAACATCTAATTTTGAACATGGTTCATCTTTTTTAAGTTCTACATGAAACTGAATTGTTTTTTTTTGTTTTTTTTTCTACTGCACTGCACCAAAGAACCCTTTGTGGCACCTTTATGTGTAAGATTTTCAAACACCAACCAGAGAATGTTCAGATTTGTTGGGAGCTAAAAAGAACCAAACTTTGTACAGGTTGGAGGCCTTATGGACTTCTTTGAGAACCTATATCTTCACAACTCAGCAGTGAGATCATCTCAACAAACTTTGAATGTTGATCACTTCAGGAAGGAAATAACCAACCCAGGAGAATTTTCAAGAAAGTCCACAAAGGATCAAATTAATAGCTTGAATCAACATCTAATGAATACTTTGTCAGAACAGACAGAGATAATTTGAAACGTGGCACTAGTGAAAGAACTCCAGACTGTAATGATTTACAATAAGATTCTGACATAAAGCATTCATAACACCATTCAAAAGCCATTCACAGATGGTGTGAGGACACCTTGCCTCTAGAGTCTCATCTGCATTCCATCTGAGCCTTTATGGCAGAATGCGAAGTCATGCTGAGAGACAGAAAGAAAAATGCTGTCAATGTCTTCCTAATAAGTGGAACAACGGAAATGTGTTTTCACTTGTTCTTCTACTTCTATTTCTGCATAATGTGATATCGAACTGTCCTCTTTAGCTCTTTAGGCTCATCATAGCTTTAGAAGCTTTTAAAAAACAAGCCTAAACACCTTAAAGCTTTATGATAATTAGGCCCAAACAGTAGAAAGCCTAGACATGTTTGGGCTTCCTTGTGACAGCAAAGCTATGCGTCATTATCTAAGTCTACAAAATACATAGACTGTTTACGGCATTGTGAATGCTTTACATAAGACGCTTATGGGGAGCTGACAACCCACTCTTCTGTGGGGAACTTCCCCTTTAGGCCCCTGCAACAGCAATATTTTGCGACTAATCTAAGCGCAGACATGAGTTCAGCCGGCTGCCAAAAAGCAGAAATCCGACCTCCCGTGTGGACCTTATCCTTATCTGGTGTTCCCGACTTAGCTTTATCGAGCCCGGGAACTGCTCAAATTGCTCCTGCTTGCAGCCTCTGAGGCAAAACAGCGTAGCAAATACATATACATATCTCATAGATGAGACTCTAATCTTACCGAATGGTGCTCACTCTGCTGCTTTACCCGCATCTGGCATGCAGCACGCGTTTGTGTGTGTCCTGCTTTTGGCTTCATTTCCCTGTTTATCTGGATTGTGGCTGTTTTGTACAGTGGGTTTTTGCTCAAGTGCTATCAGTAGTAACTTTAAGTGCTCTCAACTAAAAAGAACAAAGCAATTATAATACAAAACATGAAATCAATAAAGCAATGTCATATGTAGGAATTGTACATTGAAGTATGCAGACAGATCACTTAAAACAGTGAGCAGGTATGCTGCCATACAGTCCAATGGCTATAGATACACAAGGGATATTTCTCTCCGACCTGCTGTCAGTTAGGGGTCATCTGCAGGGACCACTTCAGCCGTCACTCGGTTCCACTGTAAACAATGTGGCTTTATGCTAAGACTTAAAAAACCACATGAGCATTTGCGGCACTGAGCCAGGTGAAACTGAGTGGAGCGTATCACCGGTGGTCTATAGTCTAAGCCTCTGGAACAAGACAGAGTTGTTTTTTGTCTTGCAGTGATCGCGACGCTTTAGCATTATCTTCACAAATACAGCAGTAATAATGATAGTAATAATAATAATAATAATAATAATAATAATAATAATAATAAAAATACATCCCTTTATCCTCACTTACAACAGGAACATTTGCGTGTTTTAAATCCACTCAAGGCAAAGTAGAAAAGAATAAATCATCCATTCGTCCTCCAGTGTAAGTCCTTAATAAAGACAGTGAAATCAAATGAACAAGTTGAAAGAGGGGGGAAAAAAGAATGTTCGAACTGAAAAGGGGTAAAGAGAGAATGAATAATGTACAGTGATATTCTTTTATCTCTGAATGGCAAGCTGTGAACGCACAAAACCATTTTCCAGCTGAGATCTCTGTAACCCCTTATCGGAAGAGCCGAGAGGGCTGGAATCCAACTATACTGACTGACAGTGATTAAGTCTGTGGGCGAACTCTTTTTTTGTTTCTTTTCTTTTTTTATAAGTTGTATTCCATCCACACAGAAGTAAGTGCGATAGCTGTGGGGCAAGGGGAAAAGAGAGGTACTGACAAATCATACAGATTCTCTTCAGCCACTCTGCTGTACAAGAGTACAAGAGAATACGAGAGAGTACAAGAGAACGAAGCCAATGTCTTTCTGAAGCTGCCAATGGCATTGCGGTCTGTAGAACATGACAGCAATTTAGACTTCATAGACATCCTATTTGGGTGTCCTGGCAATGTCAGTCTCCTTGCATTTCGTTGGTCCGGCAGCATTCTGTCCTGCTTTGGAGCTCTAGAGAGAAGCCGTCAAAGGACAGCACTACCTTTCAGTTCAGGGTAGCCTACGCTGTCTACATTGGCAAACGTTACTTCAGTGCGGCACGCCAACATTTAAGGGTTTAAGGTTTTTCATTTCAGGAATCACCCAGAATAGAGCGTTGAGAATTCTCAGACTCAAGTAGGGCCGTGAAAACGATAAGGCTTTTAAAGCTGGGATACAGTACACCGACAAATCAGACGAGGTTCTTGTGACAAAGCCATCCTTCGAAGATAGAAACAAAAGAAAGGAAACAACGAAAGGTCATGTGCTTCTGGTTCCTGATGAGTCATTCGTCCTCTGGGCGGTGGCGTCACACGTGCGTCTGCATGCGCTTCTGCAGGGGTCGCGTCAGGTCTGAGTTTTGTGAGGACGACTGTGAGTAGTGCGAGGACGAGGAGGCAGAGGCCTTGCTGTCCTTGTCGAACTGCACGTAGCCATCCTGCTTGCCATAGCTGCTGGCGCTGCTGTCGCACTGTGCCTCCAGGAAGGAGCTGGAGTCGCTCAGCGAGCCGCGCTGGAACTCTCGCTCACACAGCTCGATGGAGCTGCTGCCCATGCCCAGCACGAAGCGCTGCCCGTAGTCATACAGCCGGTTGGGCCCAGCACCCAGCGTCGAGTAGATGTTTGTGAAGGACATGCCCGTGGGGACCCGCTGTTTGCCGACCGTGTTGCCGCCTGTGTTGGCCGTGTCCCGCCGCAGTTCCGCCGTATTCTGGTTGCTGGCCAGGGTGATGGTGGGGGTGCCATGGTGCTCCTTGAATGTGTTCACACTGTAGTAGCCGTTAGTGGGATCCTTGATGTCATTAAACAAGAAAGGAAAAGCAATTAACAATTAAATTTACATATTTAGCTGACAAATCAAATTATAATTGGTAATATTGCCCAAGAATGTGCATTCTTATAATGTAAGATATGCATTCTGATAATGTGCCAAAATATCACGACATAGAAAAGCAGCTTTTGGTTCTCTAAAAAGTCTTTCAGTGAATGGTACTTTGAAGAACCGTTGCTGTACATCAGATATGTCAGATATGATGAACATTTTCAAAGTTTAAAGAGCCTCCAGATAAAATGTTTCTAGGAACCCTAACCTTTGAACTCACAAGTCTCTTTTTCAAAAACTGGTTCCTCTGTGGCTTCACACAAAGAACTCTTCATGGCACCTTTTTTCAGCAAGTAGCAGTGGAATTCCTATCTGAATGAGGAACTATCTATCTTCTAGGTGTAGGCTGATGGTGTTATAGGTTTTCAACTCAGGACCTTCACTTCAAATCTTGGTCCTAGATTTTGTTTTGGTTCCAGATCTCTGGTAGACAGTGGTACATTAAGAATATTAGAACTAGGCCTTCATTTCAGGTCATTAATGTCCAAACTCAAACACTAGGAAACAAATACCTCTACACTAATTTCTGCTAGCTCCTTTGTGGGATTCTAGTTGTATTAATGCTAAGCTAATGGCAATTCAGGTTAATGTTTTTTGGTCATTGTAGATTAAACACAGATACGACACTGTTTTTCCATTTCACTTTTTTCCATTGACCTTACTGAAACTAACTGGTCAACTGCCAATTTCTTAATATTTTATTGATTAATCTGATGCACTTGGCTTTCAGTTCAATTCCTGAAGTCCTAAACAGTAGGAGAACTTACTTGGTTGTATCGACCTATAAACCATGGATAAAACATAAAATAAACAATGTCCTGCATTGAACTTTTGTACAATGACATAACAGTAGTAATACAACACTCGCAGAGTTGCCATAGGACAAGCATGTTGATAATATTACATAAGACATGTATTTAATTTATTTATTATTTCTGTTTATTTATTTATTTTATACAGAAATCACTCAGAGAAGGCCCTGACTGGTTCCCCACTGCTGATAGGTGTTACAGTAAGTGGCCAGTCGTTTACATCAACAGCGCAGTTACAACTACTTCAAGTACTAATGAGTACAAATGAGTACAAAAGTTACAAAAATGTGTCCCTTTCGTTTCCCCTTTGGATCATGCCCCTGCGAAATAGACTTAGATATATACTTCATACTGGACTCCAAGGTAAAGCAGTCATAATGAAATGGCAAAAATGAATAAATAAACAAAAAAAATAAAAATAAATAAATAAACATAAGCAAACAGACAACTAAGTGAGAGCGACTGAGACTTGCCTGGCTCAAGGTTGCAAAACCGTCTTCCACAATGGGAACATAAAATAAAAACAACCCAAAAAATCTCATTCCATGCTAATTAAACGAACCTTGATGATTCACACCCTGGCACTGCAAACAAGTGCAACAGTTGTCCGTTAGTCTGCTTGCTTTCAGCTTTAATTGGACCAAAAATCGTCTCCTTCCAAATACAGCATGAAAAGGTATAATCAAAGCTCGGCGGAAGACGACGGAAGTCGTTGCCGTGGCACTGACTGAGCGTGGTTGCTAAGAAGCCAGGCGGTGGTGTGAAACACGGATGCCATTGTGAGCGCGCGTCGGGGGCCGGAGCCCGTGGGAGAGAAAATAATCACTCCCAGATGACTCTGCTATGACAACCTTAGGAAGGCGTCGTCAGCCATAGCTTTAGCAGACGGGGGGGGCTGCAAGAGAGTATGTGTGCGTGTTTGTGTGTATGCATCTGCTCTGTATCTCGGTTGTTCAGTCTCTTGCTCTCAGTGCTACTTTTAAACATGCATTCAAACAGACAGGAAAAGCCCAAGAGAAATGAGTAAAATGACAGTTAGAAGCCCCGGGGACTGGTGACAATTTCAGGATAAATGCAACAACAGGACAAATGCTCAGCCATAACATGAAAGAACTACCAATGGATTAGCTGTCTGACTATAGCATGGCAATTTAGCATGTCTGCTTTACTGGAAGCACCTACCTTCACTCATTGGCCACTGTATGAGGTCCACCTACACTCACAAAAGCATGATACCAAAGGAGCTTTTGGTTCCCTATAGATCCATGTTTGTGAAGGGGATTTGTGTAAAGAACCTTTTAAACGTTCACATAATGTAAAGGTTCTTTAACAGATGTTTCCTCAATCCTAGTGCTGGAGATCTACCAGCCAGCAGAATTTAGCTCCAATCTCAGTCTAACATGCCTGATCCAGCTAATGAAGGCCTTCAGAAGCATCTGAATATTAGCATCAGGAGTGTTAGATCTGAACTATAAAGGGTGGTCGATCACCAGGATCAGGTTTGGCTACCCTTATTCTACGCTAATTTAAAGGGTTTTCCCTAGAATCTTATGTATGAGGTTCTGTATAATTTAATGATGTTTTTCACACTCACAAATTCGCTCTAAAGAACCATCCATTGAAGGTTTTTTAGGAAACCAAATGTGGTAGATGTCTTCAAATCTGGTTCTAAAATCCCAAATTCTGGATTTTTGTAGTAAACTGAACTATTGATGTTACTGATTCATTGGCCATCCACTGTCATACCTACCAATGATCAGGAACTGGATTCAAGTTCTGGATTTGAAGACCTCTATGAGCATTGAACCTTGTTTTTAAGAGTGTACTGTTAGAAAAAAAAGGTTCTGTGCAGGTACACTGTTCAGTCATCAAGGTACAAATAATGTAAATGTACCCTCAAAGGTACAACAGTGGTTTAAAGGTCCAACTGTGTATCTTAAATAAGTATTTCTCAGGCAAAAGGAACATATTTGTTCCTTTTCACAACCTAATATTTTAAAATAGAACAATAAAATAAAAAGCCTGGAGACGAGAATAAGTCAATTAAAAAATATGTTTACATGGAATTTGGTACAATTATGTTCCTTGACTAAAGGAACTGAAGATGTACCTTTAAGGGTACCACCCATCATAACACTGGGGTGGTACCCTCAAGGGTGTGTCTAGTACCTTTAGTTAACTGTATCATAACTGTATAATATTTTCCATTATTTTTTAGGTTATAAAAGGTAAAAAAGGTAAAAAAAACATGCCTTTATCCTGGGACAACCTTATTTAAGGTGCACAGTTGGACTTTAAGACCACTGTCATATCTACATTTTATTTATATCTCTTTTTATTTCTACATATATATTTACATTGCTCGAACTTTGATGAACAAAAACATTTCTGTGCAGTATCATTTTTTTTTTTCTGACACTGTATGGATTGTCAATTTGGAGACTGTCATGAATAATTTGTCAGATGCCCTCTCCCCATTCAGTGGTCAGTTTCAGACCACAGTACTGTTACTGTGACCATGTATTATTTGGAAGATTGACTATCTCAGCACAGCAGTGGCATAGTAGTATATGTGACAATGGAACAAATGTATCAGACACTACTGGGGTTTTCACACACCAATGCCACCACTAAATTGAGTGGTCCACTACCTACAAAACTGACCACTAATGAAGAACAAGAGGATGGCTAAGACAAACTGATGGGCTACAGTCTCCAACTGCACAACAGAAAGTTGGAGTTACAAGGTAAGAGTTTCTGAAACCAGTATTTGACCATTATTTGTTTGGATCAATAGCAAAATTACGTAGTTATGACCACATTTAGCTTTTTTTTAAAGTCTATGAAGAGCTACCTTTTAAGGGTAGCTTTTCACAGACTCTGGTCATATAAAGAAGGCAATCAGTCAGCTCCAGTCACACCTCATCTACCGTGATGAGACTTTTTCCGTGCCCCATAAACTCCATTGAAAAAAGTTTGGCCGGTAATGTGAAAAGTTGTAGCTCAGGAGAAATGACGGGCACGATTTCCCTTGAGTGGCCATGCAGCGACTAAACGGAATTTATCTCGCTTAGGCATTGTTGACTTGGCACATCCAAATTGGCACACTTTCTCACTTTATATCTCATCTCCTGACGTGCTTTTTCAGAGCAACTGATCAACGAATCATGGCTGCTAATGAGAAATTATTGGCTGTGGGTGAATACATTTGCTCCAAAAAAAGGGGGGAAAAAAAAATCACACTTCTCTAAGTGACTTAATGACAAACTGTGGAAACCCTCATTATAAAACTGCAAATCTACCTTGGCTCTGGCAAGGCTTAACAGACGAGTATTAAACAGGATGAACTGCTTCTCAATTCAGCTAAATTTGTACTTTATTTCCTAGTTCATCAAACTGTTCTTCAGGATACCAGAAATGAAAGCAAATAATGAGCCATCATTACTGGAGTTTGCTTGCTTGTGACCATTTTTACTTACACCCTGGACTTTGAAGGGAGAAAAAATAAAAAAATATTGCATACAGAAAATGATTTTGATCATCATTTTTAATTGCTGGTCTAGACTGATAATTATGTTGCTATAAAGAATTAAGTGGCTATTTCTGCTGTTTAGTAATGAGATTTCTTAGCACTGTTGTTGCATTTAATTGATGTGGAAAAATCCAGCAAAGTGAAAAAATCATAGATTTTTATTTATTTTGTGCCACAAACCAAAAACTACATTTTTGACCAGAAAAGTGCAAAAAGTAACGATTAATGTGGTTTTGGTTATTCAATTTCCAATCACAATGGTCATTATGTAGAAGTTATTAAATGTTCAATATGAATAAAAGAAATAGAAAACTACTTAAAAGCCTCCAACACTAAAATAATATCAAATTGATCAATTCTAATTTGTAATTGGAATTACTTGGATCGTAAGAAGCAAAAACAACATTTAAGACTTTGGAGAAGTGAAAAATTTCTTTGAATATCAAGTCTCATAAAATGATGGAAGCTGTAATATAGGCAAAGAGTGGACAACTAAATATGTCACACACAAAGCTTTGATTCTGCAGGCTGATCCATTTCACTATGACTAAAGTGGCAGCAGATCCAAACAGGTTAAACAGGCCATTGACAAATCACTCATAACATACTAAGAGAATGTCCGCTTCCAGTCCAAGAACAGCAACCCCTCGCTACTACTTTGCCTTAGTTGGAAGGCTCTATTAATCCTTCATAATGTAACTGTATTGGTGAAAGTTGCATTTTATTTAAAAAAGAAAACTAAGGAAAGCTACAACATAGATTGTCCCAAGCGGAAGTAGCTTTTGGAGCTGAGATGGGGCTTTGATTTAGAATCAGGCACTACAGTGGCTTAAAAGAGAAAATGGCCTTTACTACATAATCAATACTGTCTGTGACAGTGACACAGCCCCTAAATTGGATGTGATTAAACCAGGTGTGGAGGAACCTTAAGAGTAGAGGAACCTTAAACAAAACCAATTTGGTAAAAAAAAAAGTACATTTATGGATTTTTCCATCACTACTTCAGTTTGCTTCTTTAGTTTTGCACTGAAGATATGAGGATAACTTGTTCATGGAAGTTTATAACCTATCAATTAGCACTGTGAAAACTGTGTAGGTCATCACACAATCGCCTTAAATTATGTTGAAGCCCATTTTCATACCACTTTGGTCAACTGAGGCATGTTTACTGCAAACTGCTAGGGTTACTTTGAGCTCAGTTGGTGGAAAACCAATTTCTTATAAGGCTCCTTAGTAACAAGCTCAGAAGATATAATATAATTTTAAAACATATTTGGAAAGGCTAGTATATGCCTTAACATATTGTGGCTCATTTAGAGTGTTTTAACTTCTGAACATTTTAATGAACAATAATTGTTTAATTCATGAATTACACATATAAATAACATAAACATAAATGTGGTGAAAGTTATGGCACAATTTATATGTTATAGTTTTTTCCCCAATATGTGAAACTAAGCAAACACACATAATTGCTTAATTTTTTTTGACCAACAAAATGTCATATTTAAGTGTGTCCTAAAGGATGTTTGAACTTCTTTTTGCTTAGAAGATCAGTGAAACGTGATTTGACCAGGGGTGTTGAAATTGTTCCATACACCAGTGCTGAGAAGATCCACCACCCAAATAATGCCTGCTCTGTGATGGTCCATGGCGTCCTGACCATTGAAGAACAGGCTGAAAGAACGCTAAACAGATGGACCAATCAGCCATAACATTAAAACCGCCTCTTCTACACTCACTGTCCATTTTATCAGCCCCTCTTGCCATATAGGTGCACATCTGTTGCTGCACAGTTTGGTTTGGTCATAATCTAGTCCTTCATCAGTGGTCACAGGACGTTGTTGGCTGGATATTTTTGGTTGGTGGACTATTCTCAGTCCAGCAGTGACACTGAGGTGTTTAAAAACTCCAGCAGCACTGCTGTATCTGATCCACTCGCACCAGTGCAACAGACACTAACACACCACCACCACGTCAGTGTTACTGCAGTGCTGAGAATGATCCACCACCCAAATAGTACCTGCTCTGTCGTGGTCCTGTGGGTGTCCTGTCTAATGAAGAACAAAGTAAAAGGGGACTAACAACAGATGGACTACAGTCTGTAATTGCAGAACTGCAAAGTGGTCCTATACGGTAAGTGGCGCTGATAAAATGGACAATGAGTCCATTTAGTAGGTGTAGCTAATGAAGTGGCCAATTGGTGTATATTCTTGTGTTAAACACTCTAAAACTGACCAAAGTGAATCCAAAATTAAAGCTTAAGGATGACTTTTCTCACTGTTTTCAGTTCATTTTATAGATAGTAATATAATGCGGGGAACTACTTGCAAGCAAGTAAACCTCAGCTTACTTAACAAGACACGATTGTGAGGCATGCTGCTAATTGGTGAGGCATAAACATCCATTACTCGTTAGCAGCTCCAGAGAGAAACTAGGGAAGCAAACTTCAGACAACAAACATGTCTTGGTTGATCAGCTACGTTTGTATGGATTTGATTTTTCGCCAAAGTCTTTCTGTAGCAACCTGCAGAGGCCCACCTTGATGTGCTGGTATTCTTTCTCTTCCTCCTGCAGAACCTCCAGCTGCTTCAGAACAGACTCCTGCTGGAACTCTCCGCGTTCGATCTGAGGATGGAAACAAAAGCACAGCTCGCTTGTATTCGAAATGCTTGCGGATTTCCTAAAGGCCCTACCAATTACAACACTGGCAAGTTTCCAGCGTGAAGTTACTTAATGACATTGCCAAGAAAGTCTAATTTAAGCAGTGGCAATTTTCCATGAATATTTTTCATCTCATTACCACAAATTTTCAAGGTATTCCCGTTTTCATTAAGTGCCTTAGCCTTATGTACAAGTCCCACGTATAATGTTGTGTTATGAGGCATAATCATATCTCGAGCTCTAAGCAGATCTCAGTGCTGTTCTCCAGGCCTCGGGGGAGTGTAGGACACGGAGAGGAATTTCTAAAGAATGCGGCGTCGTATGTTTTGACAGTGTTTCTCCAGGAGCTGGTACAGAAAAGGGCGCTAGGCCACTTGATCGCTAGCATCTCCATGGCTTCGTCTAGCTGGGCCCATGTCGTCCCAGGAGAGGCAGACTGGAGGCTAAATATAGGCCGTCGGGCCATCAGGGCTTACACACACTTCCATACGGACTCACACACACACACTGCATTATTCATGGGTTCAGCATTAACGTTAGCTCTGGATGGGTGTTATTAGTGTTGTGGCGCAGATGATTAGCATTCATTATCTGAGGATGTGACAAGGGAAAGGCGTAATGAGCCGAGTTATTTATTTTGGGGGGAGATGGGGGAAGGGCCAAGGAAGGGAGGCAGAGGGAGAAAGGTGGGTCAGAGGTAGAGATGGGCATGACAATCAACTTTGCTAAACAAATATTCATATTTTTAATGAAGACTTGCAATATTTCAGCCTGAGAAAAATTATGGTAAAAATAAAAACAAAAAAGTCGATTCAACACAGCTTCAAATTCTGTCTGATGGACAGAATGCAGCACTACATGCAGTGAATGCAATGTTTGAAGGAAAGAGGTAAAAATAACAAAATAAAGATGGCTGGTTAGCATGTAATTTGTTTAGCAAGAATGCTAGCCAGTGCAATGGTTAATTTAGCTCTAGCTAATCCTTTTAAACTTCAGCTAGTTTAGCTATTATGCTAGCTAACATACTTGCTATTCAAACTACAGACTAGTTAACTGCTTGCAAGTCATTTTCAAGCTTTGACTTGGACTCGCTCCTCAGAGATTTGAGACTCGACTCTGACTTGCACCTCAGAGGTTTGAAACTCAATTCAAACTTGAGCCCCAGTGACTCGGGACTCATTCTGGACTCACACCTCAGAGACTCAAGACTCGACTCAGACTTGAACTACAGAGACTCTGGACTTGACTCAGACCTGCAGCACAGAAACTTGGGATTCAACTCAAGCTCGAGTATAAGAGAAGAGGGATGGTCAGGCAGAAGGAACACAAGAGGAACATGTAGAATAAGGATGGAGGCTCTAGACTTGACCTGGACTCGAACCCAAGTGACTTCAGATGAAACTCAAACCCCAAAGAATTGATTTGGACCTGTGCCACAAAGACTCTGGACTTGACTTGGACTCAAGGATAAGAGAGGAAGCACGATGGGGCAGAAGAAACACAAGGAACATGTAGAATAAGGATGGGGGCTCAAAATTTGACCTGACTCGACCCCAAGTGACTCACATCCTAAGACTTGATTTGGACCTCTGCCACAAAGATTCAGGACTTGACTTAGACTCGCATCACACAGACTCAAAAGTCAACCCAGACTTGCACCACAGGGACTCAGGACTTAAATTGGATTCGAGGATAAGAGAGGAGGGATGGTCAGGCAGAAGGGACACAAGATGAGCATGTACAATAAGGATAGAGATAAGGACAGAGACTCAACGCTTGACTTGGACTCAAACCCCAGTGACTCAGGACTCAAATTGGACTCAAGGATGAGAGAAGAGGAATGGTCAGGGCAGAAGGAACACAAGAGGAATGGGTACAATAAGGATAGAGACTCAAGGCTTGACTTGGACTCAAATGCAAGTGACTCAGGTCTCAAATTGGACTCCATTTGTGAACATCTCCGATGAGAGACCCAATACCACCTGATTGTGTCCTCATTCTTTGCAGTGCTACGTCACATACTCAGTCAAAAAATAGTATGACATTATTTCAAGATAATTTATTTCATTATTTTAGTTTTCAAACCTCTAATGCTTAACACAAATATGACAAAGTAATCATACTCATCCCTGGCCAGAGAAGGTGGTCTTGGACTTCGATGACGATAGAATGAGACTCACCATCAGCTGCTTCATGGCGGCATGGTCCTCATTTTCTCGTGCAGCGTTGTGGTCTTTGTGCACGATCTCCACGCGAATGTCGTTCTTTGCCGACACCACGCCTTTGAGGTCTATGAGAGACGCATACTTTACTTCAGCTGGATCGTCAACTGCACAAACAACAATACCAATAATATGTAATTCATGCCGCTTCACATTGCTTGACTTAAGGCAACAATCTTTTAGCAAATCCCTGTATGCTAACACTCTTTTAGCATTTGCCAAGAGGAAGCACCACAAGGTAACACATAAAGTCCAGACGCATTTCAGTAGCACTGTTTGCAATGGTAATTGGTGACTTTCAGGGAACAGGGTCTTACTTTCTGTCTTAATTTTGCTTGCAAGTTCTCTCTGCTGAGCACAGATGGAGGCGGGGAGGGAGGGCATAACCAGGTGAGCGTCTTCTGTGGTATACAACAACAACATGCTCAACGCTAGCAATAGAAAAAACGCTTCCGACAACAAGCGTGCATTGCTGTATACCTCGCTACCTGACTTTAACCTGAAGCTATGCATGGATGAGCTTGTTCACTGGATGATGAAAGAGGAGGGATGGTCGAGGCAGAAGGAACACAAGACGAACATGTACAATAAGGAGGCTAAACAGAGGGGTAGTGATATATATAGAAAAATGGCAACGTAAAATAATCTCAGGAGTGGCCTGGAATGACATGAACCCTTAAACACTGTTCTGTCTGTCTGAGGAACACTGTAGTGGATCAGCTAGATGGCCAGTGAACTGCTGATGGACATACTTCTCTGAGAGCGGGTGCAGCAGAAGGCTCCTATGGTGCCGATGAGTACGATGAAGGCTACGAAGGCTCCCACTGCCACGCCAATGATTACAGCAACAGGTAGCGACTCTGCGGACGACAAAGTATAGCCTCCTACAATAACACAGCATGGACAAGGCAAGTCAATCCAGCAAATAATTACACCGCGCATAACCCCAGCATTTACTCATAAATACAGACCTCCTAAACAATGCTGTATCAAATTGGATGACTGCTGTGTCGTTTCAGTCAACACACGACTCTTGAGATTACTCTTTGAAAAGACCAAGAAAGGTAATTTTCAGCAGCAAAAAACCTTGCCAAGAAATCAACTGCTGGTATAAAGTGATATACATGAGTTATTGCCGCTTTGGGGAGTTATGTGAGATGCTGCATGGACACGTTTCTCTGTTAGCTGCTTCAATCAAAGCTTGTTTATGTCCTTTTTGTTTTGATTCTCAAGTCAAATCCATCTTTATTTCATTTCAGCTGCCTTTATATAGTCTGTGTGATCCTACTTGGACGTGTTTCTCTGTTAACAATTTCAATCAAAGCCCATACACATTTTTATGTCTGACGAATTTCATTTTGACTGCCTTTATGAAGTATTGAGATGGTATATTAGAGGTGGGTGATACAATAATATTTACCATTATTGTTATAAATTACATCACATTACATGACAGTATACCTTTCAGAGTATATCGTGGATATCTTCAGTGTTGCATGTCTTGCAAAGAGAGTGTAATTGAGCTGGGTTAACTGTATTTAGTACAGTGAAATATTTGAGACTTTGCATTTATTTTCAATGTGGTACTACTGGTTCTTTTATCCTCTGGTCCAGCTTTTCAAACCTCAGGAAAGCTACTCTTTACTTCAACTCTGATACATAACATGCTATGGCAGATGTCATATGCTATCATGACAGACTTTGTTCAGTAATAAAACTGTGCAAAGTTACCGTTGCCATTCATAATGTTTGAAGTCATGATGGCTAACTAAATTACACTGCAATAGAATCCTGTAAAATGTAAGGGTCATTAGCCAGTTATTAAAAGAAAAAGTGGTAACACTTTCTATGAATGTCACGTTTGTAAGCATCTATAAACACATTTATAACATGCTATAATGCCTTCATAAGGCATTATAAACATGATTATAAACGTTTATAAAAATGAATTACACTGGATTACACTTTATAGCCATGTTTATTATACATTATGAATTGTTAATATAATGCATTATAAGTAGTGTTGATAACATGTTATGCTGTCAGTGCCAAAGAAGTCAGTCCCAGCTTGGAGAGTGTAAAGTAAAGACAAATACCAAGCTAACGGTGGTGTACATTGACTTTCCCACATTGGGTAAATCACTGATGGCAGCTCTAGTTTAGACTCTGACATTTGAAGCCTGTAATGTGCTTTATTGTGTATGTTTTAGTGTTTCAGTAAATCCTTCAGTAAATACTTCAACTTGAAGCCTCACTCTTAACACTGGAGGAGGCTTTAGTACAGTACGCTTCACTTTACTTAGAGCGGACAAATCTGACTTATGAGCTCTTATAATTTGTTATGAACAGTACTTATAATGTATTATGTTAACAATTCGTAATGCATAATAAGCATGGCTATAACATGTAATGCATTTTTATAAATATTTATAGCCATGTTTATAATGCCTTATGAATGCTTTATAACGTTATGAATGTGTTTATAGATGCTTACAAAGGTGACATTCATAGAAAGTGTTACGGAAAAAGTTAAATGCATGTAAATAAGTCATATATTCACTGTATTTCAACACTGCTGGTAATTTCACAAAAATACAATTTAATTCACAAAACAAATTATGAACTTATTTTACAGACATTCACATTTATTTGAATGGGTATTACTTTCATTACTATGGTAAAGTAATGTATCTCAGAATAACTAGTGGAACTAGAGAAACTGATTTCAGTGAAAGGCAGTTTTCTAAGAAATTAACTGACTGTAATTTTACAGATTTTTACCATCATTAAAAAAAAACTTTAGAAAACATAATTTTACTGTTAATTAATGGGTTTTGTCTGGCACTTCTGCTGCCAAACTGTTTACCTTTTCCCAATAACTTTACCACTAATGAGAAAGATGTGAAAATGGTGGACGGCTGTTGTCTACTCAGATCGATTATTAACACAAGAAATACAACACATATTGGCACATTGGGCAGAACAAGATATTCAAATGTAACAATTTGTGTGTACAAATAAAGATCAGAACTGTCCAGGCAAAGATCTTCCCAGTGGTTCTTTATGGATGTGAAACCTGGACAATAACAATAGACACAGGAAACATACTGTTGCCTTGAACATTGGTGATGGAAAAGACTTTTGACAGTTGCAAAGAAAACAATTGGATCCTCAACCAAATCAAGCCTCACCTTTTATCCTTCATCTTATTTGAACATACATTGTGAGAACTAATTCATTGGAAAAGACCATTATACTTGGAAGAGCTGAAGGTAAAAAGAAAGAGGATGACCAGCAACAAGATGGATGGATACAGTCAGAGGAATCATGAGCCATCCATTCAGAAGCTTGAAGACCCAAACAGAAGACAGGACATTTTGGAGAAACACTATCCATATGGTCAGCAGGAGTAAGAAACAACATGATGGCACTTATGCTTAGCAACAATTAGCATGTGAAATATGCTGTTATGACAGCAAACATTATAGCATCTGTTATGACCAATACTTCTAATGGTAAGATGATACTATTACATATGACATCTGCCATGATATGTTTATGGCATGGTTATGTCAATGTTATCAGGGTTTAAGTGTTATTAAAAAAGAAATATTGTGATATATGTTTTATTTCTGTTCTATTAGCAGCTTAAATGGAAGCTTAAACATTATTTCCATGACTCCAAAGTCAAATTAATTTTCATTAATCAATTATACAGCCTTTCTAAATGTTAGCAAGAAACCAAGATGTGATCATCTGTTGATAATATTGATCATTTTCAAGCTGTAGGATGCTGGACTGTCCAGCGATAATAACAAGAAGACTATATTTGAGACCTACGCTTCGTTAATTACATCCTGCTGCTTTAAGCGAACCAACGTACCAAAACCCAGCATCACCTCCTCCACAATATCTGCTTAATGTCTTCATTAATCTCTGTCCTTTTCCAATAAAAACAACAATCCATTTGTTTATTCCAAGGCTGGTGGGCTGAAACCAGAGTTTGCCGTTCTAGGGAGAAAATGGATCTCATGTGGATGGGGCAAGCGCGAGACTTCAGAATGAAGCAGTAAACAATGCCAGACTGCCGCGGCCGTTAAGTGGCTCGACGGGAAATTACATAGAGCTTAGTGTAGCTAATGCATTTACGTGATAAATTAAACTTGCTGCCGACATGTCCCTGAAACAAATTCATTAAACAAACGAGAAGAAATTAATTTAGGAGGAGATTAATGTGATTTACAAAGCAAGAATGACTAATCATATACAAAAGTATTAGCATGATAAACTTAGCATAATTCGGCCAACAAATGATGTTATTTCCCAGCATCCGGGATTATTCTGGATGCCTCCAAATCCCCAAAATAAACAAATCAACAGTCTACAATGACAGGAAGCAATCTAACATGCAGAGGAAAGTGCTAATGTGCAGCAATGCTAATGCTAGCAGTCATGAGTGGAAGAAGAGAAGATGAACCTGGCGAACCTTGGGTCCCACCTTGTTCCTTGAGGCGAATTATTTCAGTGTCGGAGCCGAAGCTGTTCCAGGCCGTGCAGTTGTAGATGGTCTGGAAGTCAGCAGGGACAATGTTGCTCATGGTCAGTGTGGACAGGACGCCATCTTCTGTGCTGACCGTCTCGACTGTGTAGCGGCCGGACGTTCCGGACTCGAGGACTGTCTCCTTCCATGACCAGGCCTGAAAAATGGTAAGTAAAGTGAATGCAATTCTTGGGCTATTTTCAAATAAAAGTGGTCAGGATGAAAAAAAATACAATGATACATTGAACTGCATCAATTTTGGAATATTTATAAGAATGCTCTCTTGATATTAGGACAAGGTGTTATCATTGTGTGTCTTGTTTTGCAGGAAGAAAAACATCATTCTTTACAATTTTCCTATGTTTTTGTCATTTCAAAACAAACATGAAAAAGAGGGATGGTGAGATCAGCCGCAGGCCGGGACAGGCGGCAGCAGTAATATGGTCACTGTACCGGACTGTAGTGGTGAAGAGGGAGCTGAGCCATAAGGCAAAGCTCTCTGTTTACTGGTCGGTCTACATCCTGACCCTCACCTATGGTCATGAGCTGTGGGTAATGACCAAAAGAATGAGATCACGAACACAAATGGCGGAAATGAGCTTTCTTCGCAGGGTGGTAGGCTACACTTTACTTGACAGGGTGAGGAGCTCGGTCATCCAGGAGGAGCTCGGAGTAGAGCTGCTTCTCCACATTGAAAAGAGCCAGTTGAGGTGGTTCAGGCATCTGATCAGGATGCCCCCTGGCCACCCCCTGGTGGGGGTTTACCAGGCATGGCCTACTGGGACTAGACCCCAAGGTTGTCCTAGGACCTACTGGAAGGATTATATCTCTAAATTGGCCTAGGGAGTGGCTAGGGGAGCTAGAGAAAGATGCAGGGTACAGGGTTATCTGGGCTTCTCCAAACTGCTAATGCAATCCTAGCTGGATAAAGCGGTTATGTACTTCGCTATGTAATTAAGTAATAATAACTAGTAATAACTGGACTTACTACAATTCAGTATGTCCACATGTTGGCTCACGTTTCAATTCCTCATACTCTCATAGTATTTACAAATAATTTATAACAGTTTGTGAATGATGAGTCTTAGGTTTAATAAATAAATGAATAAATAATAAACCCTATAAGCGTGTTATTGTGTACGCATAAGGGCTTTATTGCACACAAAATGAAATTAGCATCTCAATGGAGTAGTATGTGTTAAGAATATTTGTGATTACAGATGCAGTTCTCAACACACACATACACACACACACACACACACACACACACACACACACACACACACACACACACACACACACTTACACACACAGACTAAGTAATGAATCAAAAATTGGCCTTGAGAGGAGACTGTTTATCTAGCAGTCATAAATCTTAATCGGATGTGCGCTAACAGAGCATAAGCGAGCATTAGATGAGAATTTAAGAGCGTTAGCCTGCCTCGCCTAATACCCACTCGCTCCAACGCAGGAAACAAATGATTTAGGATGCATTTTCATTTATTACGAGGATCGTAAGTCATGCGTGCGTTGTACATTATTGGACTAGGTCTGCCGAAGCTAATGAAGTCGCCACAGTCGTGAGACAATAGAATCCGCCCACCCGCTGCTGTTTTCCTCTCACAGAGCTCATCACAGAGTGAAACAGAGATGAAGACGGGAAGGGTGAAATGATGGGGGGATAGATAGATAAAGTGGCAAAGAAAGAGAGGAAGTGAGAGAGATAGGGTGAGGTACAGGGAGAGATGGAGAGAGGGGGAAAGAGAGAGCGTAAAGAGAAAGAAAGACAGAGATAGAGATAAAGTGAAAGAAAGACAGAAAGTGAGGTAGAAAGAGAGAGGTACGAAAAAGAGAAAGAGAGAGAGAGAGAGAGAGAGAGAGAGAGAGAGAGAGAGGATAACAATAACTTCAGACTTCTATGGGTTAAATATTGAACACTTCAGATTTACAGTATAAATCTTCTTTGGGAGACACTTCAGTGAAAGAGAAAGACAACAAGAGAGACTGAAGTGAGCAAGAGAGAAAGTGGGGGTTGTAAACAGAGAGAGACGAGTGAACTCACAATGCGGTCAGGAGGCGGGGTGCTGCGGATGAAACATTTGATCTGGCCCTTCTCTCCATGAGGGGCCTGGTGCGTCTGGGTGCTGGAGATGGTCGGAGGGCCTGCAGACACACAGAGCAGACTCATCACACACTGCACACTCCTGCAGTGCACAGCCACACATGCAGAGCTTTTTTAGACTCCAGTGCAGTCAGTGGTTTCTCAACACTAAGCCTGGAGCTCCCCCAGTACCACACTGTTTTGGATGTCATGGTGCAGCAAAATCACACCTGAAGCTCATCAAGCCTGGACTGAGATGAATCATCATGTTTTCTGCAGGGACGTGGCAGAACTGTGTGGTGCTACTAGTACTCAGAAGGAGTAGAAACATGAGGAATATCAATTTCAGTTTGACTTGAGTTTTCTCAGCATAAGATGCCACAGTCATCAACAATAGCAAGAGCTAAGTAATTTAATATTACTTATTTTTCACTTTTAAGTGTCAAGTTCTTCCAAAAGTTCATTCAATCCATACCACACTGGTGTTTGTAAGTAGATGAAGAGATATTTTATTATAATTTGAATGTACTGTTGTATATGTAATTTAGCTTTGCAGAAAGAAAAACAGCCATTTTGCCTTTTTTGTCTCTCTGAAATTTAAATAAATGGAAAAATGTCAGACACGCAGACTTGTTACATGTAAATCCAATGTAAATATCATTCCCTGTGTAATAAACTATATCATTACTATGTAATTAACTATGTAAATGTTTAATTACACTTGAACAGTGTATAAAAATGGCAGTAGTGATTCCTCACCCAGTGTTCACAATAGCACATGATTACTAGTCATTTTCTAAGTGATTTGTACAGGTCATTTAATAAGGTAGCCATTGGCAGATGACAAGCAAATGCATTATGATGCAGTGAAGCAATATTCTAAAAGAATGCGGTCAGCAGATTCCCTAGACTGTACATGCAGGTTGCCTGAGGTCCCCAGTTTCTAGTGTTAGGGACAGTTTGATTGAAAGACATTTGTCAATAACAACTTGATTTTTACGAATTTAACGCACTGAAACCTTCACATCAAGTCCAACACGCTTTTGTTATTTAACACTGAGAACACTGGAAGAAGACAAAGAGGAAAAAGAGGCCGAGTCATTGAGTTGAAACAGCAGCTGTCATTTTCTTTTAGCTAATATGACTCAAAGACACTTTAACAGCCATTTTTGCAAAATCAGAATCAGAATCAAGCTTTATTGACCAGGTACGCTTAATAGCACATACCTGGTATAAGTGAATTATTAGTTTGAATATTATGAGTACTCAAACAGAGATTTCAGTATTCAAACGCTGGCAACTCGAATGGTTAACTATGTACTTGAGTATTTATGCACATCCATAGCAGGTGTATAGAAACATGCATGCATCACAACATAATCACTCACAAGGTTAGAGTGATATAGGAGTGCACAATGCTAGACTTAACCTCACAATGTATATAATGAAGAAAAAATACCAATTTAAGGTTCAAATCTTTTAGCCGATGTTTTGGTTTTGGTGTCTCCAAGTCGGGTGATCAATTTTTAGACAAAGCAGTCAATATGACATACGGTACCGGGTTTGATTAGGTTGTATAGAAGACCTTTCCCATGGGCTGTGTTTGTGTGTGTGTGAGTCTGAGAAGAAAGACTGCATGAGCCTGGTCTTCATTTCCAATCTTGAAAAGAACTGATTCACAGCAGACTTGATATCTCTCAGGGAGATAAGGGTCGTGCCGTTGACCGGCAGAGGCGTCCCTGCTTCTATGAGCTGCAATCAGGAGGGAGCTCGTGTGGTTTAACAGGAAAAAAAGCCATTTTTGAGAAATAACAGCCTTGGCCATGTCTCCCCACGTTCAATTTTAACAGCAGAGCGCTGAACTTTGAACTGTGCCTGATGCATGGCTTACCCAATGAACGGAAACAGTGCTAAATAAGCTAGCTAGCAGGGGAAATGGATGCTAAACGTACTAAACGTTCTTGGCACTGATTAGGAGGAATTTCCTGTTTAATGGGCTACCGACTCCACCTCCTCCCACCAATCCACCCGTAAATAATCAAGCAGGGAACACACAAGCTTAGCTGCCATTCCTCCAATCACGCATCTGCCAATCACAGTCTATGGTGTCTCTCTGCTGATTTGTAATTGCAGTTTATTAACTCTCTCTTATTAGAATAAATTAGCATTTAGATGCAGGGAAGGCAGATGGAGAGTTGAGTGAATGAAAATGCCAGCTGCTAGCAGGCGGATGCTATTCGCCATACCGATAAGGCCCTAGCGCCACTGTTTTAGCCTTTGCTGCCAATGTATGCAGACTATATGCATGCTGCGCTAACACCTGCTAGCATAATACAGATGCTAAGATGGAAGCCTGCTGGAGGATTTGGGATGTGTGTAGACCATACAGTACTGTGAAAAAGTCAGTTTATTTCATTTCCAGTCAAAATGGCCATGAAGCAAAAAGTATACCAGCAAATTACACAACATACAGTGTAATATCAAATATCCCAGTATTTGAGATAACTGTAATATTTCAGTAATATTTCCCTCAGTGCACTCTAATGCCACTTCTCCATCCTTCCAGTCTTCAAACCAACCAGTTACAGCTGTGTTCCCCCAACAGATGTTTCCCAAAGGAGTCACTGACATTGTTTTCCTTCAAAGAGAAATAACATTTACATAATCAACTTCCCAGACTCACCTTAGCTGCCTTGCACATTTCAGTTCTTTTAAAACTGGATTTGAAAGATACATGAAAAATGAAACTCCTAACAACCAACAAGACCTGGCAGACCACCAAATCCACCACTATTAAATAAAGAGACCTTAAAGTTTTCACCTTTTGACACTAAGCCACTCATCCTTGTGGGTCACAGGGGGAGCTGGAGCCTATCCCAGTGGTCACTGGGCGGAAGGCAGGATACACCCTGGACAGTCCATTGCAGGGAAGACAGACAGGCATATACACTTACACACACACTCACACCTAGGGGCAATTTAGCAAGTGCAATTGGCCTGACAGCAAGTCTCTGGACTGTTGGAGGAGGGAGAACACACAAACTTCAAACAGAAAGGACCCTAGTTGCCCGTCCAGGAATCGAACCCAGGCTGTGAGGCGGCAGCGCTACCCGCCACACCACCATGCCACCGTGCCGCCCCTCACAAATGAGAAAATCCAGCTCCACTCTTACTTCAGATCTCAAAGTTATTTGTGTGTAGCTATTCAGAAACTGTTACTGAGAAATGAAAAATTAAACCAAAAAAATAAATTAATTCATAAATTTAAAAAAAGGCAAGTTTGCACTAGAACACTAGAACTGGACATTAAGAGATGGACTGAGTTTTCATGGACTGAAGAGTTGAAATTTCTGGGATTATTTGGATTGTGAGAAACAGAAAATGCACCAACATCTAAAACCGTCTGAACCGTCTACTGCAACACACTTCTTGATGGTCTTACTATGTGAACAATCAGGCCTTTGCAACTGATCCAGCATGGCTTGTCATCAATCTTCCTAAGCTCACTCATGTATCCCCACTGCTGTGTTCCCTTCACTGGTTACCTGTAACTGTCCACATCAGATTTAAAGCCCTGATGCTTGCATACAAAGCCACAAATGGACCAGCCCCTCCATATCTGATTGCATATCTACAGCTCAAGTACATCTGCCTTGAGTACCTCACTGTCTTCAAATGTTGACCGAAAACCCAACTCTTTGTGAAGTATTTAAATGAACACTAATCTAGCATTAATTTTAGTCATTTTTACTGCACTTATTCGACGTTTTAATTCTGCATTTTGTGCCCATCTTTCTAGGTATCAGCACTGGTGCTTCTTTCTGGTAATGTCTTCGCTCAAGGGCAGTTTGGCTAGTTGGTTTGCATACTGTTTCACTATATGTGTACTGTATATGTGCATACTATAAGACTGTATGCATATTGTGCATACACTAATGCCTGCTAGCATAATATAGATGCTAAGATATGGTCCTGTGTGTGTGTCCGTATGGCAAATACATTCAGATCATTCCCCACCAGTGAAGGAGAGGCCACTGTTCGTGGCTCATGAGAATCAGCCCGGTGGATCAGGCTGCAAATGAGGAATATAATTAGGTGGCTTTATCGTGTGGCCACAGAGCATTGAGGGTTCTGGGCTCTGGTGATGGGGCGAGAGAAAGAGAGGTGCAGGAGGAATGCTTTACACAGTGGAAGGCTGCAGTACAAATCTGGGAAGCAGCAGGAGCTGAAGGAGAGCCTGTTAGCCATCTCCAGTGTATGCTTCATTTTTAAGTTTTAAATGTCTGATTGGGTTTTACTGGTCATGTCCTAATATGCCTTAAATTCTTATGACATTTTGGTAAAAGTGTGGGTTACATTTGCATTTTATTCTGACACTCCAACCAAAATGAAAAATCTTTGCTTTTTCTATTGCAAACGTGCTACTCTAATTCTACAGTAGTCTCTAGAGTTAGATTTTGTGGTGTAAAGATTTGGAAAAACCCTTTCTGATTATGAATTTTGAAGGTGGGAGGAACTTTTGAAAAACAAGCATTAAGCAGTACATTTCAGGGGTCAGGCTTTTTTGAAATGCACACAAGCAAGTTCACCTCTGAATGGCTCAAAGGAAAAAAACTAAGGTTTCGGAGAGGCAGAGTCAAAGTCCCGACTTGAATTTCATTGAGACCTTAAATGTGCAGTTCATGCTCGAAAACCCTTCAGTGTAGCCAAATTAAAACAATTCTACAACGAAGCGAGGATGAAAATTCCTCCACAGTCATGTAAAAGACTCATCACAAGCGATCGCAAAGATCGGATTGCAGTTGTTACTGCCAAGGGTGGCACAACCAGTTACTCGGTTTAGGAGGCAATTACTATTTTTTACGTGTGATAGAGACTTTGAATAAATCTCCATCTACAAGAAATGGAATGAACATTTAAAAGCTGCATTTTACACGGGAGCAAGGTGCCACAAGTTCAGGGAACTCCAATTCCCAGAAGCCCTCGGGCTGATTAGGCCCAACCTGGCACATCTGTGGACTCCTTTACTGAAGGCCATGGCAAACAGCAGCCCTTTGTCGCA